CATCTTGCCAAGAAAAATTAAGTGAAGAAAGTACAATTTCAAACCAGCTTGTGCTACCATTTGGATAAAAAAGGGTGGGGCATGTCATATAAAGCAGGTGACGATGCAGGGGTCAAGACAGAGATACATTTACTTCATAATCTTTGCACTTTTCAAATATTCTCTCATCAAAAAACTGGGTAACCATTTTCACCACAGAGATAGACTCTCACGCTGTAAAACAGGCTGACTTGGAACTTCTTATGTAGCCTAAGCTGGTGTTGGACTTGTGGCAATCCTCCTACCCCAACATCCCAAATGCTGGGATAACTGATGTAATCTACCACACTTGGCTTTGGTATTGCCCATTAAAAAAGAAAAAAAAGAAAAAAAAAAAAAACCCAAAAAACAAAAAAACCTAACCAGAACTGCATTTTCCAAGAGTGACATTTCTCATATAGATTCAATATTTTGTACTTTTCAATGTATATTTTCTTCAAATATGTTTTTACTTGGGCCAGAAAAGTGGTTTGACAGATAAAGGTGTCACTAAACATGACAATCTGTGTTGGATCCTTGGAACCCACAGGATGAAAGGGAGAACCAGCCACCAAAGTTGTCTAATCATAACATGTACACCATGGCATGTATACATATATATAAATACAAACAGTAAATAAGTGTACAACATTAAAAAAAATTATAATGAACAACAACAAAGACAAAGCTAGGTGTGGTGGCTCACACCTTTAGTCCCAGCACATAGGAGGTAGAAGCAGACAGACAGGTCTGTGTGTTCAAGGCTAGCCTGGTCTACCTATTAAGTTTTAGGTCAGCCAGAGCAAAGAGAGATCCCATCTCAAAACAAACAAACCACCAAAATTTGAATAAAGAGCATTACATTTTAAAAAAAATTAAATAGACCCAAATTTAAAACAAAATAGCTTTGCCTGATAAAGCAGACACACTTGTTGGTTTGGCTATCAGTGTTCCCAACATATACCTGGTGAAGAACTAGAGCACTAACAAACCTCCACTTGGCTGGGGATGTAGCTCATGACAGAATGCTGGCCCTGGGTTCCATCCTCAGTACCTACCATATAACAAACCAGCGAACTAACGCAACAGCCTGTGATGCCAGCCTCTCCAGAGTCAAGGCCACCCCTTACCTCAGCCAGTTTATGGCCAACCTGGGCTCCACTTAGACAAGAGAAAAATCAGAAACTATGCAAATCTGTTCAGCTTCTTTAATCAGCTCTTTATTTAACTATTGCCTGATAATTATGACAGATCAGAGAATGGGTCTGTGTGTAACAAGTCCTTTGTCCAACTGTCCCAGAACACACACTTCAGAGTCATAATGGGGTGCTTCAGCAATCTACTGTGGCCATTTTATAAACTGAAAAGATTTCATTCCCACACATGATGCCCTGGAGCCAAATAGCAAAAATTAATCTGTGAATGGAAACACCATCCTTAAAAGAAGACAATGTAGTGGCTAGTGATGCCTGTAATCCCAGCACTTGGGAGGATCAAGAGATCAAGGTTATCCTTGGATGCACAGTGAGTTTGAGTCCAGCACAGGCTACAAGAGGCCCTGACTCAAAACAAAAACAAAACTAGTTCCTATGGAAAATAAATTCAGCCACTGCAATGTTATCAACACTGAACAGAAGCACAAGGGTTTAAAATGGCTGTAATCACTGGGCATCAGAGTTGAATGCCTGGATGCTGAGGCAGTAGGACCAGGAGAAGTCAAGCCTTGATTGCATATGTAGATCCTGTCTCAAACATCACCACCACAGCAGAGTGTGAGAGAGAGAGAGAGAGAAAGAGAGAGAGAGAGAGAATGAATGCTGGACCATGACAGGCTGTTGTATAATCCTAACACTAGACCACATCTAGAGGTTCCCCACCCTTCCAGTATCTGTCCCAGGAAAGCCAAGATGAAATAGAAAGGCTTACAACACCTCATGACCCCAGTCATCGACTCTTCAACTGGTCAACAAGGGTTCAAACCCTACAGCCAAAAATCCAAATACTGTAGGCTATGGTCCTGGCAGAAATTCTGCCAGATGGGATTCCATTATACTGAAAATGCCCATCTGCCAGGGGTTCCACAGAACCAGATTTTAAGAGGGGGAATAAAAAGAGAAAGACAGAGAGAAAAAGAGAGTTATTTCCCCTGTCTGCCACAGGGCTAGAGATTGTTCTAAGCTCTAGGGCAGGAACCTCTGTACTCTGCAGGTCCTGTCAGAGTTGATCAGGAGAAAGATGTGAATTTGGGAAGGAGGGGATGCCAGTGACCAGGAAGTCATCCTTCTGTTAGAACACCAGGGGAAAAAAGCAAGGCATCAAAGAAAAGAAAACCATTATTCTAAAATGGCTGAGTGAGGATCCAAGGCAAAGCCCCAAACTCGCGGTCATAATACTAGGAGCCCATCAATGAAGAGTAATCAACTTCGGTGACACTTAGAGAAGGAAAAATTACAGGGGATGGGGTTTCTGCAAAAAGCAAAAAAATTAAAAAAGAAACAAAGAAACAGAAGTGACAGGCATCTTTTCATTTACAGGAAACAGCCCAGCACTCAGCCGCCCCGCACACAGACAGCACTTCAGTATGAATCAACATTCCCTTGGAACCTAGTAGACTTCAAAAAGCATCAAAGAGGTAGTGTAAATGAAAGTGAAAGAGAAAAGGATGGATGAGAACTTCAGATAAAATGAAAAGAGAAAGACCACTCCATTGCTTTGCCATCTGGGTTGTTTCAAGCTCTGTAAAAAAAAAAAAAAAAGGAGGTGGGGGTGGGGAAATGCAGACAGGGGAACGAACAAGTAGGTGGCCAGCAAGGATCTTTCTTGCTCTTGTGTCTCTGCCAGGCCACTGCTGCCGCTCCCCCTACTCAAATGACTAAGGAACTTGCTTAAATGCACTCGACACATGATCCCTGAACTTCCGAAAAGCACTTAATTCAGTGGGTCATGAAATCTTAATCTAAAAAGTTCATCCATTTATAATCAAGCTGAATCACACTGACAGCTGGGGAGGGAGGCTGGGCCGAGGGAATTCGAGTTTGGAAGGACACCATGCAGAGTAGGATCTGGGGGACTTTGGTCTACCACTTTGAAATATTCACTTTTGGTCCATTTAAAGACACCAGAAATACCAGTGTCTGAGAAGAGTGTTATTACAAGGTGGGAACTAACAGATGAACTACATTATCCTATTCAATACAAGGGAAACAGGAAAAAAAAATGTGATACAATTAAGAAACTCAGGTTAGAATATAGAATATATTTAAGGATGAAGAATGTTAGATGGTGGGTATGAAGGAAAGCTACAGAGAAAGGCAACATTTAGCAATTCTATTATGGTTACCGTGTGCCAGGCACTGTTCTAATGTTCCCAAGGGTACATATTTCTCCAATCTTTAATCAAAGTGCCAGCGTTGTTCCTTGCATTACTGGTGAGGAAACAGGCACAGAGAGGTTGGATAACTTGTCCCAAATTACACAGCTAAGAAGAAGCGGGACTAAGATTCAAACCCAGGCGCCGTGACGCTCTCTGGGCTCCTCTAGAACTTAAACAAAGAGAACTAGGCTGGGAGTAAAATTTAAGTCATGCCCTGGTTAGATCTAGGGTCAAGAGGTTAACTCTTAGTCATGCCCCTGTGATGACCAGCCAGCCTGGTGACCATCCCAGGCCTCAAGTCTTACCTGTACAGTAAAGGGAATGAATTAGATGAGCTGCGGCATTTCAGCTGTAAAAGATCCCAAGTCCATGCTGACCATTAGCAGCACGGACTGGCCTGCCTTCTGGCTGACTGGAAGCTTCATTTATCCTCACATGTTCAAGGTGGTTTACAATTGTTTCTTCTGCTTCCTGACCTTCAGGCAAGGCAGTAAAGAGGGGAAATGCACTCTGCTTATGTGGTTATAACGCAATGGCCCTTGAAAAGCTCTGGGCACAGATCATGTTGACTCTGCCAAACCTGCAATCTCTCCTGTGTCTGTTCTCAGAACCCGCCTCTGGGCCAGTTAAAACTGACAAGCTGCAAGTAGACGCACCAACACAGAGGAACCAGAAGGAGTAACTCAAGCTGAACACTGAAGTAAACCATTTGATTAATTCACCTTTTGGTATAATCTATTCCACTTGCATACAGGCATGCACACACGCACATGAGAGCTAAAACCTCAAAAATCATTATGGGTGAATTTCAACACCCCTTTGGAATCTAGTGGACTCTGGTAAGTATCCCCCTCAATCTAGAGCGCATTGGTGGATGGAGAAGGGGCCTTACAGACGGATCATACAATCCTTCCCTTCCCAAGCATCCCAGACAGGTGGCTGTCATCTGGCTTCTGCCTAGGCACTTCCAAGGTCGATGCTCTGGCTGCCTAGCCTGGCTGGCAGCCCAGGACGCTGCTGGACAGATCTTGCTATGGGGAAAGCCCACGAAACACCTAGAACAGTTGTCTCAGAAGCTCAATAAAGTGTGCCTCCAAGTAGGTCAAAAATTGCTTCCCTAGAACTTGAACCCATCCATCGTAGGTGAGCACCGGGATCCCAAAACGTAGAGAGGCCCATCGATTATCCCGGGCTTGTAGTCAGGCCCTTTCAGGTTTCCAGCATCCTGCAACCCTCTTCCCAGAGACTGGCCGGGCGGATACCTCCTCCCCAGGCCCAAGAGTAGGCATTGGTGGGAAACAGGGGATGGCAGCCAGGAGGCCTCTGTCGGCCTTGTCCCCAAACTCGGTTCTTTAAGCAGGGGAGGACAAAGGACCTTCAGGAAGGCGTATCCCACCCGTGGTTTGGGCTGCCCCGCCACTAGATAAGCTGGCCCTCCGGATCCCCGCAGTGCCAGATGACAGTCCCTATTCAGTCCCCACGGACCCGGAGCACACAGGCTGCGGCGCGATGGGCCGAGCCACGCTCGGGACCGGGGACTCGGGATTCTGACCCGACGTCTCCAGAGAGCGATCGCGGCTAGGTGGAGCTCTCCTAACCGAGGCTTTACCTGCGCTCGTTGACTCCAGCGGTCCAGCTCGCCCTGAGTCCGGTTCCCGCAGCTCCGCCGCTGCCGGCTGTTCTCATAGAAATACAGCCGGAACCCCTGGCCAGCGCAGCTCCCGCCGCTACCGGCCCCGCCCAGGCAACTGCCGCCACGCCCCTGACGACCGCCTCTGCCACGCCTCTAACCAAGGGTGTCCCACTGCTCATTGGCTAACCCAACCGCCACTCTATTTGTTCAGCGCGCTTATTGCGCTTGGTTGGCAGCCCATTGGTCGGGGAGGCTGTTCCTCAGGGTGGAGGAGGTGATTCTTAGCAGATAGTTCTTCTGCAATTGGTTACTTTTGATGTCTTTGGCTGGTGGGCAAAGACACTATTGGGTAAGGCCAGCCCTAAGAGGCGGGATATGGGGAGCTGGCCAAGGGTGGGCTGTGTTTGATGGTTGATACTGGTGAGGTGATGGGAGAAGGGCCTATTGTGACTGCTAGCTGGGTTCTGGGGCTGGAAAGAAGGTCTGGAATTCCATGGGGATGAATGGGGGAAAAAGATAGCACAGCTGTGGGGTTCTCAGCTCTGGTGTGCCCGGGAGGACGGACCTGTAGCTCAGGACGCAGGTGACAAATGTGGAGTCCTAACTTGGAAGAGCAGAGGTGGTGAGTCACCAAGCCAGAAAGGGACAAAGACGTGAAGGCTGCGGCCTCCTCCTTCAGCTAGGGAAGTGGGTGGGGACGTGTGGGGCTTTATGGACCTGTTATTGTCCCTTTGTTCTTTCATCCTTTAAGCAACCATTGCAGGTTGGAAGCCTCTTGAAGAAGGTAAAACCTTTGAAGTCAAGTTAGAAGGGAAGGCCTGGGTCGCGTCATTTAGCCTTTCAGCGTTGTGCTGGTTTCATTTGGTAAGTGTTGGTAGCTGATGAGAAGATGGGTACGAACCGTGCCTGACATTCCACAGGCCTTCACTCGCCATTCACCCTCTCCATCCATGCAACTCGGCCCTGCTGTAAGATTCTGCGAGCCTGAGGCTGCTCATGCAATGGCACGTGCTTGACTAAGAATAGAACACTGATGACTGGAAATGCCACTCCAGTGGGGCAGCAAGGGACACACTGCCAAGGCTCAGAGAGGCTCAGAGAGGATGTAGAAGAAATGGAAGAACTGCATAGCCAGAGGAAGGAGGTTGTATTTGAAGCAGTGCTAAATTTTCTTCAATACATTTCAGGATAGAGATAAGGAAATTAGGGGCCAACTCACAGAGTGGGAGCAAGCTGAGTATATAGTGACTCGTGTCTGTTATCCTAGCATAAGGCTGAGGCAGGAGGATTGCTGTATGTCCAAAGCCACACTGAGCTCCATAATGAGGCCTTGTCACAAACAAAGAAAAACAGCAATGTGAGCAAAGGCTGCTCAGTGCTGAAGCCCTTTCTCCTTCTGAAGGTGTGGGACACCCCAGAGTGTGGACAGAATACACTCTAGGAAATGCATTGAACCTCAGACCTTTTAAGCACCCATAGAAGGAGGGGAGAGAATCCATTGCTGTTGTGTTTTGTTTTTTTTTTTTTTTTTTTTTACCCCGTTGTCATGTTACCTCAATAAAGTTTCGTCTCCAGGCTTGTTTATTCCTCTATTTTCTGTTCCATCTTGACGAAGAGAAGCCCAGGCTTTGGTAGCAAAGGATTTTACTGAGGAACAGCCTCCCCCGTGGTCCTGACCTCTCTAGTGAAATGATTTACACTGTGAGAGATGAGCCTTGGATAAGATGTTAACCAGTTTGATAGAGATAGCCATCTCACTAATACACAGGTACCAAAACATGTGCCATAAGTATGTACTATTGCCAATTAAGAAATTCTTAAAAACGATGCATTTATAAATAGATCTGCTGCCAGTTGAGAGAGTTGTATTCATGAGTGTGGGTGCAGGCATGTGTGTGGGTGCATACACTTGGTTCTAAGCTACAGTTTTCTGGTTTTTCCTTTAAATAGAGCTGGTTGGTGGTTATGCACAAGGTTGTACATGTGCTGAGGAAGCCGGCTCAGCCTGCTCTGGGTCTCCTCCTGACCATGCCTGCTGGGCCTAAGACATCTTCTTTGGCCTTGGAATGGCTGCAGTGGCTTCTGAGACCTCAGATGAGTTCTCTAGCTTGAAGCCCAGCCATAAAAGTGACTGTTTATAGTGAACTGCAGACAGCTAACTATAGTAAAAGTCATTCACCATGGTGAGTTTTCCCTACTGTCTCAGGAACCTAGGTTAAGCCAGGAATGCTAGTAAAGGACCTCTGCCCAGCTTGGGAATTCTCAAACATAGTGGGTCACTACGAGGCTCGAAAAGCAGTGTAGACTAAGCCTAGGCAGAGGAAGGACCTGACAGGACATTGTCTCTCCTTGTGACTGGGTGTCCTAAAGGAGGATCCATCATCATAAAGACACTAAGCACTGTTTTCTTACTTATCTCTGGTTTCCATTTCCTCCCCCTCTTCCAGGGCTTTTTCCATATTCTGTTTAATCACATTATTCCGTTTTACAAAGCATCGATTCGGGAGGCCATTTAGGGGGCAAAAAATGACCTCAATTTTGCCTTCAAGTTTAGCAGCCTACAGGTATCAAGGATATGGTGAGCCTTGGCTTGAGATAATCAGGTGCCAGAGGATGTCAATAAAGCAGAATTTAAAAGCTGGAGAGATGGAGATGTAGTTCACCACAGGGGCCCTGGACTCCAACCTCAGCACAGCATAGGCCTGACATAGTGATGATATACACTTGTTATCCCAGTGCTCAGATGATGGAGGTGGGGGGGATCTAAAGTTCTAGGACACCTGGAGTCAGTGTGTCAGTGTTCTGTGTTGGCTGAGGCTCTGGGACTTCACTGGTGTGGACTGGATCTAACTCAGTGATGGCCAAACAGGTAGAAGGTACCCTGGAAAATGGAGGAGGCATAAGTAATACATGCTCTGCTTGTTGTCATCAGGCAAGCCCAGCGGTTTCCTAGCCTTGTCAGTCATTTTCAGTCCTCAGGGCACAACTGCAAGCAATGAGCTTTGGAATCTCTACTGTTGTGGCTTGAACCCTGCTTCCACCCTCCTTAGCTTTGTGGCCTTGGGCAAGCCCAGTACCTTTCTGTGCTGTCCTTTTCTTTAGTAAATGCAGCCAGCTGGGGCCCTACCACTAAGCAAATTAGTTTGTGATGGACAGTATTTCAGTCAGCACCCAGCAAACGCCAAGCTCTTAATAAACCTTTGTCATAGTTATGAGAGGAGCCACTAAAACCCTTTCCCTAAACCTGACTCATTTTCTAAGTTTTCTCCCCGGTGATCAACCGGTATCTAGCATACATGCTTGTGTGCACACATGTGTCTGTGTAACTTTATTCGAGCCCTTTAAAAACAAGGCCGTACACACATAAGTCAGAATGGCCTCAAATAGTGGCCCTCCTCCATCTGCCTTCCAAGCGCTGGACCAGCAGTGGAACTCCACCACGCCCTCCCTCTTTTGTGTGGATTATCTCAAGGATTGTGTTAAGGTTCAGGGATTAGACCTCATCAGCTTAATCACCATAAGGGCAAAGGGAGAGGGTGAGGCTGAGACAATGATACCAAACGCTGCAGTCTGTACGTTTAGTCTGGATTCCTCTGACAGCCTGATATGAGTCAGACAGGAATGCAATATTGTCACTTTATTGTGACACCCAGGGCTGTTTATGGGGAATTTAGGTTCAGAATGCACTGTGCTTCCTGGTCAGCTCATTGATCGTGGTGATTAACTTGGTTTAGACACACTAAGGCCCAGTGTGTTACAGGTCAATGAAGAGAAGCAAGGATGCCATTCAAGGACCTGGTTCCTTTTGTTACTAGAAAAAGCTTTCCAGCTGACTTTTTAAGACAGCGATGATGGGAAAATAACCTCTTTGTCCTCTGCTGTTTCCTTAATCTACAAGTAAGGTTGTCTATAGTAAGATTTTGAAATGGGGGTTGGGGCTGGCAACATGGCTCAGTGGACAACCCACTCACTCACTGTGCTGATGGCCTGAGTTTGATCCCATGATCCCATGTCAAGGTGGAAGAGAGAACTGATGCACAAGGCTCTCTTCTGACTTCCACATGTTACTGCCCCATCACACACACACACACACACACACACACACAGTGTTCCAGACTTACTTTTGGTTGCATAAAACGTTTTACACAGATAGGTGAAGTCTCAGTCAACAGACATTTCTCTTCTTGACACCATTCTTAATTATAGCAATAAAAATCGACTGCTCCCCACTACTAATTCCAAAGAAGTCAATAAAATGTGTGCATTAAATAAGTGTATCACAAATCCTCACCCTCTCCTACTGAAATTCGTGTGCCTAAGCTATTTTAAAGCTACCTAAATCCCTGTAGAGACCCATGCACTGTTCTTATATTTTTAATTAAGCAGACAGTAAACAGTTTTACTGAGCAACATGTTGTCAGTCCTAGAGAGATGGACTAAACCTTGAGGCCAAGTCCTGTCCCTGCATGGGTTATTAAATAGGACAAAGGTGAAATCCTAGAGACACCTCAGGATACATCATCAGTAAGAAGTTAAGTTCAGCCTGTGCTGAAAATCTCCACTCAAAAGGGAACAGTTTCTTCTGATTTGGATCCTTGAAGATTTGAGCTGGTGCTTAGACGCCACTGGAATGAGGCAGTGGGCGGTATTCCAGGCGGTGAAGACAGCAGCCTCAGAGGCCTCTAGTAGGAGAACTCAAGACAGCTTGTCCAGAATGGAATCAGGGTGTGAAAATGGCAGGAGAGAGAGACAGATGGGCCAGCATCAGAGGCCAGTGGATGCCTTCACCTGAGTTAATGGCTTTGCCTAGCACCCTGAAGGGCATGCATTCTCCACCTCTAGGCATCTGCATGCCCTCCGTAATTTTGGCCCTCTCTCCTTATTCCCTCTTCTGTAACTTAGACTTTCATTACATTGATTCACTTAAAATTTTTGTCATCAAGTTGTGAATTTGATTTTTTTGTTTGTTTGTTGACAGAGTCTTGTGTAGCCCAGGCTGGCCTCAAATTCATTAGAAAACCAAGGACGGTCTTGAACTTCTGATCCTCCTGCCTCTGTCTCCCGAGGGCCGGGATCACAAGTGTTTTATGTGGTGCTGGGCATGGAACCCAGCCTGGAAAAGCACTCTGCTGACTGAGCTAT